ATATCCATATTTTATGATTTAAACATTTTGCAGCCTGTATGATAATAACTTTTTATTTTTATTTTAAAATTTACTGAACATTATGAATCCCAATCATGTAAGATCCAAAGAATGACACATTCCAATCTGTCTGGTGTTTAAAGTCCTAATATTGTTTTATAGTCGCAAAATTGTGTATTGTTTTATAGTTACAGTAGTGTGTATTGTTTATAGTTCCATTTCTGTGTACTGTTTATAGTCCCATTTCTGTGTATTGTTTATAGTCCCAGTAGTGTGTATTGTTTATAGTCCCAGTAGTGCGTATTGTTTATAGTCCCAGTAGTGTGTATTGTTTATAGTCACAGTTGTGTGTATTGTTTATAGACCCAGTAGTGTGTATTGTTTTATAGTCCCAGTAGTGCGTGTTGTTTTTTAGTCCCAGTATTGTTTATGGTTTTAGTCATAAGGAGCTAGATATTTTAAAGTAAATGATGTGGGCTCACTTGTTCTTATTAAATCATTTTCCAATACTACTTTTATATAATTGGAAATATGTTTGCATACATGAACGCATTCCATTATAGTAATTCACCAATATACACTATTCTAATAACCTTATTGTACCTGTTGTGTGAACTTTACCAGTATTATGTACATTACAATGGTTTCAAACAGTAACATTAATTTTTTGGGGGGTGGGGGTCCTTTGTACACTAATATAGACGAGTCGGCCTACGGAATAATATTTAAAATTTTGAATGTCCGAATTTAATTAAATATCTCTCTATTGGGCTGACTAATGCATAGGACCCTAGAAAATGAATTTTGAAATGAAAACAAAATGAGTACTTTAATCATCGTTATCAAAGAAATTAAAAAGATAGTCAGACCTAATTCGAGATCTACAACACAACGGAGATTTTTCGGAAATGATACGATATTATACTCTTTTGACCTTTTGTTTCACCAATCAGATCACAGCTTTTGTATTTATGAAAATGGCAGCGTCATTCGGAACGTATCGTTTCTAAAGATCCAAAAAAGGAATAATGAACGCATTACCAAGAGCCGTTTTAAGAACTTTGGGGGGCCCTAGGAACAAATACATAATCTGCCAACACAACCTACACCGAAACTTTGATTTGCCCCCCCCCCTCGGCGGCGCTCTAAGGACGTGCCTCGCGTGCCTGTGCCTTAAAACGGCACTGGTTTTACCTGCTTAAGGAATGCGGTGTTTTGCCTTAGCGTAGAAGAAACAAACGCTGGGGTCAATCCATTTTGGTAATCGTACGCCAGTGGTTAGTTGCGTTTAGTTCTCGGAGCTTTTGCAAAATATGTTCCTGCATATAATCAAAATTATATTGTAACTGTCAATACTGTAACTGATTTAAAAAGTACATGTTGTAATGTAACATGGAGGCGAGTAGAAGTTATACTTATACAATCATGTCACATAGATGTGAGAAGTTACTTATTCTTTCATGTTGCACACATGTGACTAGAAGTTACTTATAGAGTTATGTCACATGCATGTGAATAGAAGTCGATTTTGTCTACGATCCTGTAAGGAAAGTGATGTCATGTATGATACACTACATCGACTTTGTACGCTTATAGAATAAACCGCATAATCTGTTCTACTTGGAATGCATACTATTATATATTTTTAATTAAATATAAATTTATATGTAGTCATGGATACAATAATTATTGACTATGAACAGTTTAAATTTTGTTTTGTTTTTTTTCAGCAGTCAATTAATATCTTTCAGAACTGACAACATATAAAATCTTGATTTTGAACTTTTTTTTGCGAACGCACAGCTTTTCAGACATTTCAGTGGTGGTTTTGATTGTAACACCAAAATATTGCTTATCAGACATTTCAGTAGTGGTTTTGACTATAACACCAAGACACTTCTTATCAGACATTTCAGTTGTGGTTTTGACTGTAACACCAATACACTGCTTATCAGGTATTTCAGTGGTGGTTTTGACTGTAACACCAATACACTGCTTATCAGGTATTTCAATGGTGGTTTTGACTGTAACACCAATACACTGCTTATCAGACATTTCAGTGGTGGTTTTGACTGTAACACCGTTCACTGAACTAGCAAAAGAATGTTAAAAGCAAGAAAAATTCTTATTACTTCAAGAACTAAGAAATGTCTGGTGAGAAAAAAATTGTATCATGATCACCGCAATTATATGATGTCAGTCTCTATGACTACAATTATAAGTGCCTGTCAGTATATTATGAAGAGTAGTCATCCGTGCCTGTCAGTTTAGTATGAGTGTAGTTATCAGTGCTTGCCAGTGTATCATAAAGAGTAGTCATCCGTGCATGTCAGTATATCATAAATGTAGTTATCAGTGCCTGCCAGTGTATCATGGGTCCAGTTATCCGTGCCTGTAAGTATATCATAAGTGTAGTTATTCGTGCCTGCGAGTGTATCATGTGTCCAGTTATTCGTGCCTGTCAGTATATCATGAGTGTAGTTATCCATGCCTGCCAGTATATCATGAGTGTAGTTATCCATGCCTGCCAGTATATCATGATTCTTGTTATCCGTGCCTGTCAGGATATCACTTTATGTACAAGAAATTATTAAAATTATTAAGTATTATTACAAGTCCAATCGCAAACCCAATACGGTTTCATATATATATATATATATATATATATATATATATATATATATATATATATATATATATATATATATATATTACACGAATCATATGGCTGAATAACAGCCCTTACAAGCGCACTGGATCCAGCAAAGGATCACTTGTGTCTGGGATTATTTGAGATAGATGCAATTAACTAACGACGAACAGTTCACAACTAGTATCTAACTACTAACTAGCATGAGTGCATTCGACTTCTAATGAATCTTAGATCGCGCGCGCGCACACACACACACACACACACACACACACACACACACACATTGTGTGTTTGTGGATAAGCAACTTCGTTAGAATAAATATCTGAGATCACTTCGTAGTTAAACATTCATCTTCCATAAAATCTCGATTACCATCTGTCAGTTGCATAATGTAACAACAAGATTGTCTAGAGCAATACGACAACCTTGGTTTGTATCTAATATTCCTAATTTACATTTAAATTACACGGACATTGATAAATTGTGGCTCATTCGATATTCTGTTCTTATCAACATTAATCTCTTTTGATCACACTTAATAATCGATTGTTAATCGAGTCGGCATTCCATATATCCAACCGTTTATCGAACATAATTACCCTTACCTAATTGTCAGGTACAAATCGATCAACGTAATGACACGATTCTTCCTCTCTTTGCCCCTAACAAAAAGCCAGCTAAAGTGTAATAAAACAAATATACACGCTTCCACTCTATGGACTTTCAGTTAACTATTATAAGTAAACAAAGACACCTTAGCGTCCTTCTGGCCAGTTGCATTGCCCCCGTAAGTCGACGTACAATAACGGAACAATGCAAATGCAATTTACGTTGATTATATGGATATTTACATATATTAGGCCGTTAAGAAACTAGTTTTATCACCAAATGATGGATACATTTTATTATTTAAATTCATGGGTGTAAGCACGTTGTATATTAGATACGTCAGTTATGTGCTGCTCATGTATAAAGGGTCACTTTACTTTGCAGGAAGATATTCAGCAAAACAGTGAAGAAGTTTACTCAGGCTTGATTTCGAGAGAACATGTGTTGTATGAACATCATTTTGAAGAAATGAAATGGATTTGCATTCAATATACACAAGGATTGATGAAGTGTGGAGATTTCCAACAGTGTGAAAATACAGTAATACACTTAATCACTTAATCGCATCACTTAATGCAATATAGATCTGCTCCAATCTTAAAAACATTTGTGCTCTCAGGAAATCTAAGGGATTTCATTGCCGTATTGAAAGATTATTAAATCAAGACTTGTTTAAACAAAACTCAAGCTTTTGACAACAATACATGTACTGGTGACAAAAGTGTTGCTATCATTTAGATACCAGTCGCGAATGACCCTCTCAGGAATGAAAGGTCATCAAACATGGCAACTTGAAGGTGGGGTGAAATGTGTATATGACAGATAGTCCAATATATAAAGATTTTAAACAACTGCTGTATATGTGACAGATAGTCCTATATGTAAAGATTTTAAACAACTGCTGGAATGGATACTTTCGTAAGAAGAACGTACATCAAGAAGGCAAATGGCGGTGACAAAAAGGATTTTCCATTCTGGGATTATCGGTAATCGCACATATACACATCACTATAGAAACTCTAAATAATCCCCTCTTTCCGCATTTCCAGTTATTAGACTTAACCAGTTATTAAAAACGCCTTTACTGAGCTATTCTATCAAAGGTTTTTGATAGGTTGTTTAAATAGATGTTAAAAATTTCATCATATTGAAATATAGTAATACCTCGAATTACATGTTGATGTTTGAATTTATGAATATATATATATATATATATATATATATATATATATATATATATATATATATATATATATATATATATATATATCTGACAGGAATCATTGATGTTATTAAATAACTTTCACTGAGCATATTTAAGTCCAATAGCGCCGACAAATGGCCATTTATGTGTTAGTCACTCATGATAGTAACAATGCTTGGTTATTTTGAAGATGATGTATGAAATCAACTGCTGCAATAAGATGTTTCTAAAATGGATAATTAATTTTTCTCCTTTCTATGGGATTACATGTGTAATTACGACTTATTGCGCTGTGTATGATTACAAGTAAAATAACACAGAAAGCATTTCATATGCGCAATTACATAACATAACATTGTGTGTGTGTGTGTGTGTGTGTGTGTGTGTGTGTGTGTGTGTGTGATTAAGATTTTTAATGGTGTCCCACCCAGTCACATTATCGTGAAACCAGGCCGAACAGTCTTACCATTAGCCTCTTAATGCTGAGCGCCAAGCAAGGTAGCTGTTAGTACCATTTTTGTAAGTCTTTGGTATGACTCGGTCAGGATCGAACGCACGACCTCCCGCATCTGAGGCGGACGCTCTAACCACTAGGCCACTGGAGCGGTCATATAAGAGCAGACTTTAGCAATACATTCTCTGAACACAATTAGATGTTGTGTTTAATTTTATCTGTATTATTCATACTTTATTACTGTTATTCCTTTGTTCGTTCTTGTTGTCGTTCTGGGGATTAGCGCCATTTTTCAGCACATTATAGGCTATACATGGCCGCCAGTAATAATGGTGGAGGAAGAAACCGTGAAATCCATGGGAAGAACCACCGACCCACGAGCAGCTTTTTTCAATGCTCTTCCAATTCTTCCTCTGTTGATCTGATTGGCAAGAGACACTTAAAAGATCTCATTGGCAAGAGACACGTAAAAGATCTCATTGGTAAGAGACACGTAAAAGATCTCATTGGCAAGAGACACGTAACAGATCTCATTGGCAAGAGACACGTAAAAGATCTCATTGGCAAGAGACACGTAAAAGATCACATTGGTAAGAGACACGTAAAAGATCTCATTGGTAAGAGACACGTAAAAGATCTCATTGGCAAGATACACGTAAAAGATCTCATTGGCAAGAGACACGCAACAGATCTTATTGGCAAGGGACACGTAAAAGATCACATTGGGAAGGGACAAATAGAAGATCTCTTTTAGATAACATTTCTCCTTGATTACTTTTGGCAACTGCTTTTACCAATTTTCGCTCAAAGTTTAATGACTAATCTAGAGTAAATATTGCATTGCTTCGTTTATCGCTCGAATATACGGACAGCTGCAGACGGAGTGCGATAACAGAACGAAATATCAGCTAATATTTCTAGAGCACGTATGCACTTACGCACTAAGGAATAGGCAAACATACTTGAACTTATAAACCGGAGTTCAGATTTGTTTGCGCTCTGATAGATTTTCCTTTGCTTGATGACTATGTGCATGGTAGAGGGACTTCCTACAGTGAGTCATAAGTTATTTTATAGTGTTCTTTGCACTTCTAAGTGCAGCTTATTATCTATACACATAGTGCGGTACCGATGGCTTGTATCCAATATTTCAATGACTAAATCGAGTTGGTCGAAAAAAAATCAAGAAGTTGAATTTCGTTTTATCAGGAATTTTCGAAACTTGAATTTGATACCCTAAAAGATAATGTGTTCGTAGTATAAATTTATACAGACGAAAAGAAAGGAAACTCTAATGATCTACTAGTACCCGTATCAGGGCTTTGCTAATTACAAAACACATGTCGTTAGCGTTTGACCTTTCAGGTGTTGGTAATATACAATAAGTCCCTCTAAAACTCTTGGTTGCGGTCATATAAAGACTTACAATTACATGCGAATTTCATTGTACATAAGAAATACCAATCCGACTTCATTAAAATTTTCCCACCTCTTTTAGATATGCGTCATGTTATATATGACCATTCATGTGTCATGTAAAATATGCAACTCCTACTTGGAGTGTCCCGTCTACACACTTCCTCGATTGACCCAGCATACGTACGCTGTTGCGTTAAAACCATGTTCACTGTCTTTTGGTTAGTCTGATTATTTTAAAGTTGTTTGTGAGTTCAGAAATTAATTGTGAAAGTGTAGTCAAACGCATACAAAATATAGAACTAATTATTTGTCATGATATAATAATAAACAGACACCATATATCATTTTTGAGACTCTGCTCAAACAAATTTATTTTATGTCCTTCACTGTGTGTGCAGTATAATTGTTATTATAACGTATGAGTAGTTATTGGAGACAATATAGAATGGAAATTTGACATTACTTTTCGGTCGATACGGAGACTAATGGGAATTTAACATGATGTTTTGGCAACTGTAGAGTTTAATAAAAAAATTATATTACATTGAGGGGAAATATATAAGAATGCGGGAATTTTAACTTGACGGATTGGCAGACAAGTACACTTAAGGACAAATAAATGCCTACTTCTATAATTGTGAGAACTAAAAATTATGTAGTATAATTTGAGAATATTTTTGCAGCTTGGAAAATAAACAGGAAATTAAATTATATTTGAATATAACAAGCACGTTGACCTTATTTCAGAAACACGATGCTGCAACTTTGCATCAATTTGTCAACAGAAAATGAAGGTAACCAGTCTCATTTCGCTACATTTATACTATGTACACTATTTGTGTGTGTGTGAGAGAGAGAGAGAGAGAGAGAGAGAGAGAGAGAGAGAGAGAGAGAGAGAGAGAGAGAGAGAGAGAGAGAGAGAGAGAGAGAGAGAGAGAGAGAAGAGAAGAGAAGAGAAGAGAAGAGAAGAGAAGAGAAGAGAAGAGAAGAGAAGAGAAGAGGGCTTTACTATCAACTCTGAAATTGGCCTAACCTAGTTTATTCATTTATCTGTAAATAATGAAGAGCAAACATTAGTGTAATAACTCCACCCGAGTTATAATAATTATTCACTTGGAGAGAAACGAAGGGGGATAACAATGTACAGTTTAATGTGCAATACATACATTTAACAGTGAACATATTTCCAGGGTTGACAACATTCGGTAGGTTCCAATATTGTTTGCTGATTTTGCTTTGCTATCGACTTATAAGTACTTGTCCAGCTAAAAAAAAGGAAGATGAAAATAGACTTTAATAGATCTGACAGAAAGAAAGGAAAATATATGTCCTTTCTACGTAATCAAACACTTCGAAAAAACCAATAAGGGCACAAAAGCGTTTGCATTTTTTTTTCAGGTAGCTTCTGATCAAAACCATTTAATATAGAAATGGCGTCTACCGTATTACTAATCTTCTTAAAACCATTGCACATCAGTAATAATATCCTATATTATTACCCATAGATCAGTAATAACATCCTATATTATTACCCATAGATCAGTAATAATATCCTATATTATTACCCATAGATCAGTAATAATATCCTATATTATTACCCATAGATCAGTAATAATATCCTATATTATTACCCATAGATCAGTAATAATATCCTATATTATTACCCATAGATCAGTAATAATATCCTATATTATTACCCATAGATCAGTAATAATATCCTATATTATTACCCATAGATCAGTAATAATATCCTATATTATTAACCATAGATCAGTAATAATATCCTATATTATTACCCATAGATCAGTAATAATATCCTATATTATTACCCATAGATCAGTAATAATATCCTATATTATTACCCATAGATCAGTAATAATATCCTATATTATTAACCATAGATCAGTAATAATATCCTATATTATTACCCATAGATCAGTAATAATATCCTATATTATTAACCATAGATCAGTAATAATATCCTATATTATTACCGATAGATCAGTAATAATATCCTATATTATTACCCATAGATCAGTAAAGAACATCCTATTTAATTACCCATAGATCAGTAATAATATCCTATATTATTACCCATAGATCAGTAATAATACCCTATATTATTACCCATAGATCAGTAAAAATATCCTATATTATTACCCCTAGATCAGTAATAATATCCTATATTATTACCCATAGATCAGTAATAATGTCCCATATTATTACCAATAGATCAGTAATAATAGCCTATATCCCATAGATCAGTAATAATATCCTATATTATTACCCATAGATCAGTAATAATATCCTATATTATTACCCATCGATCAGTAATAGCATCCTATTTAATTACCCATAGATCAGTAATAATATCCTATATTATTACCCATAGATCAGTAATAATATCCTATATTATTTCCCATAGATCAGTAATAATATCCTATATTATTACCCATAGATCAGTAATAATATCCTATATTATTACCCATAGATCAGTAATAATATCCCATACTATTACCCATAGATCAGTAATAATATTCTATATTATTACCCATAGATCAGTAATAATATCCCATATTATTACCAATAGATCAGTAATAATATCCTATATTATTACCCATAGATCAGTAATAATATCCCATACTATTACCCATAGATCAGTAATAATATCCTATATTATTACCGATAGATCAGTAATAATATTCTATATTATTAACCATAGATCAGTAATAATATCCTATATTATTACCCATAGATCTGTAATAATATCCTATATTATTACCCATAGATCAGTAATAATATCCTATATTATTACCCTTAGATCAGTAATAATATCCTATATTATTGTCAATAGATCAGTAATAATATCCTATATCCCATAGATCAGTAAGAATATCCCATATTATTACCCATAGATCAGTAATAATATCCTATATTATTACCCATAGATCAGTAATAATATCCCATATCATTACCTATAGATCAGTAAGAATATCTCATATTATTATTTTCTTGCTGCTGTTTTATGTGATCTTTTTCCATCATAGCGTTTACCATTAAGCGTAAGACTTTAAAAATTTTACTAACAGCTACCTCGTTTGACGCTCAGCATTAAGATGTTAGTGCTAGGACTGGTCGGTCTGGTGTCAAGATAATGTGTCTGGGTGCGACATCGTACTATATGTCTGCGGCATGATGCACCATTGCTAGACGTCACTAATAACCGCCACACTGCAGGCATCATTGTCTTTGAACTTGCAAAGCGGGTTAAGTTTACATACTGCAAATGCATGTAAGTGAGTATTCTTGGCTTCGTTTCTGTGAGTTGATTGTTTGGATAGGCTAGGTAAATTAGGTGTCCGTACTGCTATGGACTAGTTTGTTTTCAGGCAATGAAAAAGAAATACATAAAACTGTTGACAGAAGACTTTCAGACTCCAGAGGAGTTGTTGTAATAGGCAGCAATCGATGGTATTCTACCTACTGCGGTTCTTGCATCGTTATCATCATGGATGGAATGGCATACTGAGCCAATTCCATTTTGGGACATTTGCAAGATTAGTATGTCAACTTTTCTGGGTTTTTTTTATTGTTATTTAGTAACATGAAATATTCACGACCCTGTCTTTTCTTTGCATCTTACTTTTGCGTGTATGTGTCGTCTTAATTATTTCGTACGTTTCTTAATTCCTCGTCATTGATGCTGTGTGTGTATGTATGTATGTGTGTGTG